TTTAAAATTACACCTCAGTTAAAATCAGATATTGTTTGATTTGGGGCTAAGAAAGAAGTGCTGATTGCTGCAACTAGAAGTTATAGGCTTATAATTATGCCCTACATTTTAAATCCTGCCTCAGATAGTTAGGTCTTTTGTTCTGAAAATGTGTTTGTTTAAATTTTCTGGTGTAGACCACAAATTTGTAGTCACATCCTGTCATTTCTTCCCAATTGAGAGACACATTTCAGGACTACTAATTAATTTAATGTTATTTTTCATTATTTCTTCTGCCTTTCGTGACAAGCAGCCATTCCTCTGGGCTGAAATGCTAAACACACTGTTGTATTTATGGTTTTTTAAGAACTGAGTCATTTGAGTCACGTAGACTTTCTGCACATCTCGTGAGAAAGTTCCCACTGTCAGGTGGAGTGAGGATACACAGCTGTGCACATCACAGTAGTGTCACAGTGTTTTGCTAGTCAGAGTTTATTTCATAGATTGATAAATTATTATTTGGGGTTGGAATGGACCTTATAAATCATCTAGCCCTAACCCCCTGCCATGGGCAGGGACATTTCCCACCAGAGCAGGTTGCTCAAGGCATTATCCAGCCTGGCTTTGAACACCACCAGGGCTGGGGCAGCCACTGCCTCCATGGGTAACCTGCTCCAGAGTCTCACTGCCCTCACAGTAAAAAACATTTTCCCAATATCTAACCTAAATTTCCCCTCTTTCAATTTGTACCCATTACCTCTTGTCCTGTCATTGCAGTTCCTAACAAGAATACTTGGAAAAAGCAAATAGCTGGGTGTCTTCGTGGATGTGCATTCATGAGTAGATCAGAAGTTCAGTGCTCATCCAGGGACTCCATAGTTGCACAAGAGGCTCCAATATTATGTGTTAATGAACATGCTGATGTGAGTTTGTGCAGGAGACTATGCTAGCAGAGAAGAGGTGAGGTGAAGACCCCCAGCAAGTGTCTATTCTGACCCACTGCAAAGCATGGGAACACCAAGAAAGGGGCTGGGTGATAAAGAAATTGTCTCTTCTGTGCATGCAAGGAGCTGCTCTTCCTTGGGTGACAGGCTGTAGATGAAACCTGTAGGCAGCTCTGTGACCCCATATGACATTCAAGGCACTGTGATGCCTTGAACAGCTGCAAGGGCAGCTTTTTCTTTTTTTTTTTTCCTTCTTTTTCTGCCTGGGTTCTTCCAGGTTCGGCTGCCTGCCTCAACTTGTTATGTCAGTCAACAATTTTCCTGCTGGCTCTTGCAAGCTGGGTAATGCAGCATTCCTCTGTCAGTCCAACAGTGGCAGGGCAGACACCCTCCCTGCTTAGGATTCTCCTCTGCTTGAGGGCCTTAGCTTGCGTCACACATGAGTAAGGTTACTCATGGGTTATGTTTCCATGAACAGACTGTCAACTTGAGTATGTTGCTCCTTTGAGTTGTGGTCGAGTGGGGCCCACTGTCCCCACAGTGGCATCCACTGTGCAAAACAGGATAGGAGAATGGGGCTGAACAACCTCCTTGTTCAAGTGCATCAAGCCTTGGCTGGCTAAGGGTCATTGTATGACTGTAATCCACATACATGAAAATAGCCATTCCCATCATTGTGGCTGAACTCAGACCTGTACGACCACCAGAGAAACTCTTTGGTCTTAGTATAGAATAACTGGTGCTTGAAAATGGGTAGTTTCCATCAGGCTTACGTGTTAACTCTTTCTGTTCACTTGCATATACATTTTGAAATTTTCTTCAACAAGGCTATTTTCCATGACTTATTTTATCCCAGAGCTTCGTGTTTGACAACTCTTTGTAAATACACATCATCTGTTTACTAACACGAGCATAAAATGTACTTTCTCTATTAAAATAAAATAAATGAGTTTAGTAGAACAGCTTGTCTTTGAAGGTCAGACTTTGGCATGGAAATAGTTCATGCTGAGAAGCAGCACCTTGGCGTACTGTGGTGAAAACTGGCAGTGATTTGACTGAGCTACAAACCTTCAGAAATCACACTGCACACAAACAGTCATGTTTAAACAGATGGAAGAAAGGCCATGGATGCATATGTGGCTAATTCAGTTCAGTCCCCAGCATTTCACTGGGGACAAGGAGGGCTGTGCTGGCATTCTCAGGCAGTTCAAAGTGTTGGGGTGGGCAGGATGGTGTGAATATGGAATGGCTTAGGAGGCAACCATCTGCAAGAGTTACCTCTTGTATGGAAGATGTGTGTTCAGCAAGTCACTGTCTTGCATAAGACAGTGGTGAGTTTTGGTTTAATTTAAATACTGAAGACAAGTTTAGGGTTGGGGTTTTTTTAAATCTTATCTTTTTTGCAGATGTAGTTTCATTCCCACAGTTTATTGTGGACTATGGTTTGTATTTCTGAGTATCAGAACAAATATTAGGGTGTGTAAAAAGCTCATCTCACAACTACTGTCTCATTTTGGCTTCTAGAAGAATGTAATTTAGTTAATCCGTTCATCTGCAGCAGCAGCCTGGAAGGTAGAATTTGTCTGTGTGACATTTTTGTTGTTAGGAAGTGCCAGCTTCACAGATTTGCTGTCACTTTAAATCAAGTTAATTTTATTTAATTAAACCAAGTTATCTGCCATCCATGCTAATTACCATAGTCCATCTTAACTATATGCACTTCTCTTTCCTTAAAGTTTCACAACTATTACAAATACAGGAATTCTGAAAATGGATTAATCTAAGCACCAGCTTCAAATTCCAATTAGATAAGGACATTCCATTAGATTTGGAGGTAGGGATAAAAATACAGAATGTGTATGCTGAGTGTCTTATTCAGGACACGGTTCTAGTTAAAGGATTGGTTTATCTATTTCATTTTTAAGCTATTACAAATGTGGCACTACTCCTGCAGCATGTTGTATCATTTTCTGAACAAGACTCTGCATGTTACACTGCAGGGAACAGCACCATGTTCTAAAACTAGAGCCAGTGGGGTTCAAGCAGTATAGATGGGCATAAATGGAAACCAGCAGAATACAGTTTTATCTGTTGTAAACCTCAGGCAATATATTTCTCATTTAATCATGTTTACTCTTAAATTCTGCTTTTTTTCTAATAATTCTTTTTTTTTATTTTGTTCCTACAACTTAGCCTATTTTAGATCCCTAGTAAGACTGTTCTGTCTGCTGTCACATTTTAGTAAATGCCTCAGAAGTAGGGAGGAAACCAGCAGAATACAGTTTTATCTGTTGTAAACCTCAGGCAATATATTTCTCATTTAATCATGTTTACTCTTAAATTCTGCTTTTTTTCTAATAATTCTTTTTTTTTATTTTGTTCCTACAACTTAGCCTATTTTAGATCCCTAGTAAGACTGTTCTGTCTGCTGTCACATTTTAGTAAATGCCTCAGAAGTAGGGACTCAGCTTGAGAGCTGTGCCCACAGTCAGACAGAAAGCTTCTGATGAAGCAAGGGCTGGACTCATACTTTTCAGACCATTGTCTTCAAAGCACATTGGCATAGTTAGTATATTTTAAAACATGAAATCTGCATACATAATATTGCAATATTGCACATAGAGAGGATGTTTTATGAAAATTACTACATCTTTGACTTCTTTCTCCATCACAAGTTTGTGAACTGGGATAATTTAGATAAATTGGATTTAAGCTCCTGGCTGTACTTTTGAGCCTTTGTGGTATAGCCTTTTTTCACCTTTTGCAAGAAATAATTCTCTGGAGGTGTTCTGGATTGCTTTCTGCTTATGAAAATAAATGGTAATTATGCCACACATTTATGTTATATTGCAAAGATGAATAGCTAGGAGATTATAGTTCATTTGGTGTAATGAATTAAATTACAGATTTTGCCCTCTCCTAGAATTTTCAAAATAAAAAATATTGTAAATCTCAGACCATGATTCTATGAACAAACCTCTGATTTAGATGTATCAGCTGTGGCTCTGATTGTGACTCTGAAGCATTGCTAGATTTGTATACATATCTCTGGTTTACAATAATATGGGAAATGTTAAATCAGTTTTGATCTATTGTAACTGTATGCAGTTACACAAATAATGCCTTAACTGCAGTAGGTGTTCATCATTCATAAGTTAATGCTTCGTTTTTCATTGCATGGCACTCAGAGATATTGGTTTACAAGAGTTGTGTTTTATTTTGGGGAATCACTTAGCAACGGTGCCATCCCTGTGTGGCCTCAACTCAGTTGACACTGAGTACAACTCAGTCCTAGCAAAATCCATCACATACCTTTAGTCTTGTTGTGAAAGAGAATAAAATGTATTATCTACACAAGACTTCATTGCTAACCAAAGTTACTTCACACTTGGCAGTCTGTGCGAGTGATACGTGTTCAGATTAACTTGGACAGGCAGAACTTAATAATAATTTTCATGTCATTGCCATATTGAACTTCATTATCAAAACATGTCATTTTGCATGCTAAGAATAACATGATATCAGGACTGTGCATTTAGTATTATAGCAGGAATCACCTGGTCAAAAGATCCTGTAAATAATGCTATTAATGATGAATAATGCTTTTAAGATACTATGAGATTAAAGATGGTGAAAGTGCAGTGATACGGTTTGACACATTGTCATTGAATCATTTTATTGATTTATTTCTAACTATAGAGATCTCTATCTTTGGTATATCTCTTTGTTCCATGATGTTTTTTATTTGTAAAATTCAGCTGTCTGAAAATTAAATAGGAGTCAAAACAATAAAGAAATTCTGACTGCTGAATCACAAAATTGCTTCAGCTGTGCTGTATTTAAATATGCTGAAATATTAATATGCATATGAAGCATAATTTTGCCACATACAAATGCATTTATGTGTCTTTACATGTCTTGTTGCACATACAACATACAATTTGGGAATTAAATCACAGCACTTGATTTTTAGGGGGGTGTGTGTTAAGGGCTCATTTTTCATGTGATAAATCTGTACCCCTGACTAAAAGAAAGTTTATCTAAGTATTGTTAATAACATCTTTTTCCCCAACACAGATACCATAGCAGAAAGGAGGGCCCTAAGAGAACACGTGTATCCTAAGCTGAGAGAATTCTGCAGGGAAAACTATGGCCTGGAATTTCAGGTAGGTTTTGTTGTGTTGAATCTTGCCTTACTTTTTGTTGAAATTAGGTCTATTTAGAACAGAGAGCATTTTAAAATATCATTGGTAAAATAGAAAATTCCAAAGCCTGTTTTTCACAGAATCACAATCACAACGTTTGGAGTTGGGAGAGACCAGTGGAGGTCATCAAGTCCAACCTTCCTGCTCAAGGAGGATCATCCTAGGGTGTGTTACTCAAGATTATGTGCAGATGGGTTTTGGATGTCTCCAAAGAAGGAGACTCCATAACCATTTTGGGCAGTCTGTTTCAGTGCTCTGTCACCCTCACAGTAAAGAAGTTTTTCCTCATGTGGTGGAACTTCCTGTGTTTCAGTTTGTGCCTTTTGCCTCTTGTCCTGTCTCTGGGCACCACTGGCAAGGTCTAGTCCTATCCTCTTGACACCCATCTTTAAGATATCTATATCCTTGGATAAGATTCCCTCTCAATCATCTCTTCTCCCAGCTAACCAGTCCTAGCTCTCTCAGCCTTTGATGTACTTAAATTATTCTACAAGGAGATTTGAGGTCAATTCTGAACAGATGAAAAAGCACAGTTTTACAATGCAACACTGCATTGGTAGTAAAAGCAATATGGCAGTTAGCTGATGACTTTCAGATTAGAAACTTAATGAAACCACCTCTACTTTAGATATTCAAAGTATATAAGAAGAAATAATGTTACATCTGAATTACTGTGTTGTGCTTCTAGAAACCATGTCTGAGTTGTAATGTGGAAAATAATTTAACCAGGTGAATACTGAAAGGTGAATACTAGGTGATTACCAAAATTAATTGAGTGTAGAATATTTCAATTGCAATTATATTCTACCTGATTGCCAAAATTAACTGAGTGTGGAATATTTCAATTGCAATTATATTCTACGAAATTTGCTTCCTTTAATGTAAACAGTAAAATTCCCATTACTTCAGTCAGTTCATGTTTTCCTTTGTGTTACAAGACACATCTTTGGCAAGAGCCAATTGGTGATAAAGACAGTTGCATTTGACTTAAAACACATGCATTTGGCATCACTGTGAAAGTCACTGGTACTGTAAGTCAGGTATTTCCTAATTCACAGTTGCTATTATGTCAGCAGGCCTGGAACCAGCTCTCTGCTAAGAGAAACAAATAGAGCATGTGATGTTGTAAAAACATTGTTCAATTTTTCAAAAATTCTGGCTCTACATCCTCAAGCCACCCTCACATACTTCGTGACCCCAAAAACTCATCTCTCCAGAGTGCAGCTTACTTGGAAACAGTTAATGCCTTATATGAAACATCCTGCTCCTCCCAGTGTATTATTCTTGGTGCACGTGCAGCTGGTTTTTAATCAAAATAACAAGTTCTTAAATTAGGATATTTGGTTTTAATTCCCTGAGTCACAGTGGAGTTGCTGAATCTGCATGGTGCTAAATTCCAGAGTGATTTTTGATTATAGCTATAAAAGAATTTCATCTGAAAGTCCTAGCTCATCAGCTGATTGGGAAGTCCCAGCTGCAATGGTACATGCAAGGAATAGCAAAAGATACCTAAATAATATTTTTCTCCTGTTGCTACCATTCATGGAAAATATAAACCCTTTATTTCTCAGTCATCTTTGAAGAGACATCTCAGTGACAGGAGGGAAATATCTCTTCCAAGTAGATAATAATCCACTGAATTCTTTGTGAGAGGAAACATGTCTTTCTTTGAACAGATTGTAATGTAGTCTCTAGGGGAGGAATAATTAAGTTTAGTCTAGTTGATATTCATGGCAGCAAATTGTTTTATTATATAGTTTCAGTACCAGGAGCATCTTTCTGTGATATGAGGTCTGAGAGACAGTTCCACCAACACATTTCTGAAAGCAGCTAGAAAGCTCTCACATTCTGGTGGAAGCAAAGTAGGTAAATGTACACAAAATTACCAAGGGAAAGTAGTACAGCCTTTTGAAAGAGGCTGAGGCAGACTTTAGCAAAACTTTTTTTTTGCTTACTCCATTCCTGATACACTGAGTTTCTTAGGTTAGCATGTGAGACTAAAGTTTTTAGTGCAGTGATATCAATAAAATATTAGGTACTTTCACTGGGTCATCAGGCTGCACACAAAAGTGTTTCAGTTGTTGCAAAGAATGAGGTCTGTCAGTTTGGTGGGAGCTGTTAGGGAACATAACCACCATTATGTGTGGAAACAGAACTGACTATATTCAATCACACTATGAATTCATGTGCTGGATGGGCTTCCTTTTTTCATTGAATCATAAAATATTTCTGAAAAAAACAGGTATTGGTGAATACAAAAAGCAGATAATTGAGATAAGGACTACAAGTGTGCATCGTGTTTTGGATCTGAAATACAGTATTTTTATAGGGGAGGACAGAACTACTTAAAGTAGTTGTAACAGACAATTTTCGGAAGATAACTAACCGTAGTTAATTAGCAGAATACTCTTTTCTTCTTGGAAACAATGATCTGTTTCAAATAAGTATCACCATGGGATATATATGCTAGAAAGAAAGTGGAATTTTGCACGAGTGTCATTTTTTAGTGTCTTTGTTAAGCTCTTGCAAGTGATAAAGTCTCCCTAGAAAAATCTGTGAAACTGTAAGATTGGTAGGACAAAAGCTAAAGTAAGCAAAAGGAAACACTGAATTATAAATGAAAAGTCTCTGGTAGGTGACTAGTGTGGAGCTGAACTAGACCAGTGTCAGTCTCCTGTGTGTAAGCAGCTCTCACACAGGGCACTGCTTGTCATATCACCTTGGCAGCCTTGCTGAAAGTTAGAGTGGGTGTTTGGCACTCAGTTTTTCCAAGTCTAAGTAAAAACATGGTTCAACATCAGATGTAGTTGTCTTCTTTTCCATTTCTTGAATTTTTTTAATCCTATTTATTTTAGTCAGCATAAATAACGGATGAGCACTTCATTTTGAAATTCCTGGTATCTTCAGAGGTTTGATGGGTAAAATACTTGGTCTTGCAAGATGAAATTATAACACCTTAACATACTATGTGCCAAAACTGTGTTACCCCATAAAAATAAGAGGCAGAAGGCAGCCACTGAGCCCCTACAATATCTGCTATTTCAGGGAATTTCCTCTTCACATTTACAGAATTAACATGATTTCTGAACAGTTAATTAAAACAGAAATTGCTTTTACATTTTGGATGAACTTGAGCAGCACAATAAATTAATTCAACCAGTAATTCAAATATTTTTGACTGTATGCCAAGATCCTCTAATTTTATGACTGGAATATTTAAACTTTAGCATAATGCAAGTAATCAGACAGATGAATACAATGTGAAATTCAATAAGGAAAAAGGAAGAAGTGAACACTTTTTTTCCTAATGAGACTAAAAGAGAAAGGAGAGAAAAGAAATCAGTGCAAATGAGGGAAATAAGAAGGCTTCTTTTGAGCCATGTGCACAGGATGGGTTTATATCCTCTGCACACAAGTCACACAGGGTGTCAAGTCGTGGTCTTGACTGTGATCCACAGCAAAACTCCCATTAATTTCTATGAAGCCAGGATTTTTTAAATGATTTTGTTGTTGTTCTTAGCTACCCATTATATGCAATCTAGCAACAATAAAGACTACATCAAATCAAGATCTTGTCATGCTAATCTCTGCAAAAAAATATATGACTATGAAATGAGAGACTGTCCCAGGAGGGACTATCTGGGAGGGAGAGGAAGAGCTTGAATGGTCAACTACCCAAGGAAACTCTGTCAGTCTGTGTGGATATAGGCAGAGTAATGCTTAGCAGTGCACACAGTGTTGACAAAGCTAAAATTTAATTTGATAGGTAGAAAGGGCATGTGATAAAGTAATAATGTTGCTTACTATTTTCCAGGTAATAGACTTATACTGGGGAGTTGAACCAGACGAATGGGACAGTCCTGAACTGCAAAAGACTCGTATGAAGCTGTTAGAAGATTGCTTGAAAAGTTCTGCAGGTCCATGTTTTGTTGTGGGTATAAAAATACTGTTTTACTTTACAACAAAAATATGTTAGCTCTCCTAACATGCATGATTCAGTAACAAATGTGTGCTTTTCTTCTTTCTAAAATATTTTCTATTCCTTGCTGAACATTTGCTATACTGCATCCAAATGTTTCCCTCTACAGCTCTGTAGATGAACAGTGATTACTCAGGTATTAGGGGAGAGGAATGAAGGATCTTTTATGAGTATTCCTCATAGCAAGATGGGTTTAGAAATGACAAGGTATGACTGTACTACTGTCACAAAAGAATTATTGGCAACTTTTTTAAGGAAACCACCTATAATTAATTCTTGGTACTTCTCACACATGTATTGTCACTTGTTAGACTTCAATGCAAAACAATCTTAAGAACATGCCTTTGTACCCTAAATTTTCTTTTCTATAATATATTTGCCGAGAAAATAATTTAGGATAGGTATTTTTCTCCTATGTACCTAAATATAGCTAAGTGAAGTCTAATTTTTAGCTTTGTCTTAATAAGACAGAGTTCTGAAAAAAACTGCAAGTCCTTGATTTTTTTTTCTTTTTAAGGGAAGACTTTTAAAGACTTAGTGAACTGAAACCACAGAATCCTGTGGGGATGGAAGGGATACAAAACACTGCCTGCTGTGAGGGCTGGAGATAACATCTCTCTGTGCCAAAGATTAGACAAAGAGCAAGATGTGGCATGTGTTATCCTGTGCTTTGATCACACCTTTACAACCATCTCGCTGGCTCTTGTTTATTCACCTGCTTGCCTCACTTGGTTATTTAGCTTCAGAGCCCTGGGCAACCAAGGCTGTCCTCGGTGCTTGACCCTAGGAGCCCTGTGTTTGGAGTACAGAATCTGGGCTGGGTTTGATGCTGTCATGACACTGTTTTTCACAAGCACACACTGGCCCAGATCTCTAGAGAGTTTGGGTAGCTTTCATCTTATGTGACTAAATTTAGTTTTCTGGGTTTATTTTTCTACTTTTTATCTTTGCTTTGATGAAAAAAAAAAAAAAAAAAAAAAACAGGTTGGAAAAGAAAGGCATGGTATTTTTCCTGTAAGGACACCCAGTGTCCTTAGACATGAATGTTGTAAAATCCCTGACAGTGAAGGAAACCTTGTCATGTACCATTGCTGCATATTTTAGCAGCTCAGTTTTGAGCCTTTTAAGAACTGCCTGCCTGATACTGTTACTAAGGAAAGAAATCAAGCCAAATCAGAATTTTTTAACAGCACTAAACAGCTAGCAAAGAGGTTGCAGTGAGGCAATGATTTCAGTATTTATTTCAGGTTTTCCAAGTATGGGCCAGAGTAATAGCTCTCCCAATGACTAGACTGGCAAAACTACAGAAATGTGTTTAGGAGCATTTGTTTTTTGCTCTGCTGTACCATAGTGGGATGGGGTTTATTTCATTTACAACACAAATGGAAAATGATTCCGCTCCAATAAGCATAATTACTTTTAATTTATAGTAACATAATTAAAAACTGGCTTTGGCACTGCAGGCTTTGGGTGACTTCCCATTTCTTGAGAAAGTTCTATAAAATGTGCCACTTCAATTCAGATGTTTTTTTGGGTTTTTTTACTTATCAATTACCACTTTTTTGACTTGAGACACAGATCTGGGATCAGATTGGACTGTTCATAATTAACTGCTAGGTATGGATTGATTTTAGAAGTGTTTCTTTATGGCACTTTTTTTGTCTGCATTGTGATATCAGATGGAGAGAAAATGAAGTTCAGTTCTTAAATTAGTGCAGTGCATAAGTTGGAAGTCCTAAGCTTTTCTTCAGATATGAAACAACAAAATCCAAATTAACACGTTGATAAACACAAAGGAGGAAGCAGTTCTGAAAAAATGTGTGATTAATTACCTGTGATCACTGTCTTTGGGACTGTAGTGTCCCTCTCCTACCTGCTGCCTGAGCCCTATTAACACTTGATCCAATTAAGGGAGAGGGGAGTTGTTTGGGTTTTGGTTAGGCTGGGTTTTTTGTTAGGTTGAGGGTTTTTTGAGCATTAAAAGCTCTTTTCCCCACTTTCAGCCCAGGGCTAGGGCAGAAAGTACCAATGGACAGGCCTGAATTCAGAAGCAACACACACATCCTTTCCAGAACAGTCTCTAGGGAACCATCAAATTCTTTCCACTTTCACAGTGCTGAAGACCTAGAATTATAAATTTGGTATTCCAGTAGGATGTGATAAGAATACTAGCAATTGACAATATTTGACATGTCCTTAAATCACCCTGAAATGGAAGAGGAAGTATGGTAAATTGAGGAGTGAAGTGTTTTTCACTTGTTTGGATCTTTTGTTGGTCCAGTACAATGCATGCTTTAATCACTCCATGACATACACTGCTGCTTGGTTCTCTCTGCTTAGTACAAATGGTTGATAATTAATTCTGAGTGCATTCCAGCTCAGAGACAATTCCAAGTTATATTGCACCAGCTCTTCTGAATCTCCTCAACTTCCATTTCAGTTCTGGTGTTCCTTTAGGGTTTATTCCTGATGTGAAAAGTAAATACATACAGATTCTGGAATGCCTGAGTTATATTTTGCTTTTGCTCCCCTGGGAAAACTGCCCCACATTTTGAGTTAGGGAGGCTAAAGTTAGTCAAATGTGCCTATACTAAAACATCCAGTGTAGGAGGAATGCTAAGCACCCAGTGCTTTTGGAGAATTCAACAGAATTTACCTACATTTGGGCATTTCAGTATTTAATTTTCTTCAAGGAAGCAGCTCTATCTATAGTTTTTATGTGAATGAGGAGAAATAGCTGGAGCCAGACATGGCATAATGGTTCACCTCATCCAATAAACTATATTCCAAGAAAGAAATATCAAATTATTAATTTTCAAACCCCATCCAAATAAGAATGTCCTCTAACATAAGTGGGTTTAGGGTCATTCAGCATATCAAGAATGGCTCCATAGGACTTGTTGGCATTGATCTGGAGTAAAATGTATGTTTACAGACACTAATCCAGGTTTATATGGACTTGGCTGAGAGGAAAGATTTTTCTGTGAATGTCAAAACAGTTTTGTATATTCTTTTAAATCCTTCAAAGCAGATAAAGTGATAAATTTTAAAGGCATAGTATGTGACTTTCCTCTCAGCAAGCTTTGGTCTTCTTTCACAGCATCCAGACTAAGAGGCAAAGGGTGTCTCTCCCTTTCCATGTAGTTTGTCTCTGAACAGCAGATACACACACAAAGTGAAATCAAGCATGGGGGGATAGTATATGATTAAGCTATTGTAAGTGAATTCCTTCATCTGCTTTAGGGAGGGGAATGTATTTTGCTGTGAATCATCTCTGATTCTTTAAATCTAAAATGCTTACCCATTTTTTAAACATAGCCCATTGAAAACAGGTACAAGATTCATCAGGAAGCTTTTCCATGGAACATAGAAGCTGCAGGGTCTTAAAATAGCTTGCATTTTCAGTCGAAGGACTGCACATATTTTCAGCTAAGTCACTGTACTTCTTTTTCTTGACAGATATATAATTTTTGGTGCTGCATTCCAGAAAGGTTAAGTATTATATTTAATATAAATTACCATATTAGTGAGAACAAGATTAGCATGAAATCATATTTCCATCATTCTATGTAATGTGTAGAGGAAGAAATAGGCTGCATGACATTTATGAGATTTATTTTCTCTTGACCCTCACTAGCTTTACAAAACCACCTTCTGATGTAGTATTGTAATCAGCTAGATGTAATGATCTGCCTTACAAATGAAATTGTAGATCAAAAATCTGACATCACCTATTCTGCAGAAGTGAGGGGGATGGAGGGGAACCTAAACCTTGCAATGTTACTTCTGTGTAAAGAAACAGCATATTTGACAATATTTAGCAGGGAGTTGGTAAGTTCAAAGAGATATTAATACTGTTGTTTGCATCTAGCATATATATCTGCCCTTTTCTCAGAGATCCACTTTAGAGATCCTTTGGTTCTCCAATAACAGACCCAGAAACAAACACCTACCCACAAAGTAACTAGTTCATTTTCAGTCTGATTATTAAATACAGCTAGCAGTAGCTGCATCTTTATTTATTTATATTTTTTTTAGATAATCATTCTATAGTTTCACAGGATCCCTTTTTCTTCAATGAAAGATACTAATTTAGAGAACTAAAATAAAAGACAGTGTCAGTGTTCTTCATAGTGATACTGTTATGCATCCATAAGGTGTCTCTCTTAAAATATTTGCTTTCAGTGCAAGGTTTTTTTTGGAGTTCCTGTTCCATTAATATGCAATGTAGCAAGCAATTACCATAAGCTTCTTTCTTTTAAAACCAGAAAAACTCACAAAATAACTTTTTATTCCATTCCACCTTGGAAAAAAAATGAAGCAGAGAATACTTGCTTAGAATGCTAGGGAGACTGCAAGTCTTATGTGTAAACTACATGTTCTTTTCTTGTCAACTCTTTTGCACAGTACAGAAATTACTGTAATGCTTAAAAGTGTTTTAAAATACTTTAGTATAATAGTGCTACTCATGGCTGGAAAAACAGCTCATCACCTGGCCACATACCTTGGCAGAGCATATATTCTGCCTCTCAGTCACACCGTGCATGGCATAGGCAAGAGAGTGGTTTTATTCAGCTAAGTGGCATATTTATTTTTTGCTATATTTTATTAATTTCCATGGGCATTTGCTACAGAATTTTTGAACTCTTGGCCAATGATCTGACCTATTTCCTGCAGGCAATAGTTAGTATTTAGTGCTTATACACTTCACTTGTAAGTCTGAAAACCTATTAGTTAAAAATTAGTGTTAGAAAAGTCATGAAGATACCCCAATAGAAAGGCACTATAGGTGGCTCTTGTTTTAGATCTATCTCACCCTTGAAGAAATATGGCAAGTGAAAGCTAAGAGAATGCATAAAATTAATATTTCTTTTATCTATATTATAAATGGAAATCTAATATTAGGTAACTTTTGAAATGTGGCAGTTGTGAAGGTTACTCTATGAAAAGAT